CAGTGGTTCTTAGGAAAACGATCTCTGTGGCCAGGAAAAAAAAAAAAAAAAAAAAAGCATTTGGGATGATGACCGAAAGGTCACAAGAAGGTTCGAAAGGCCACCAGCACGTCCCCTCACGTACTTTATGAGCAATGACAAGTCTCCCTCTCATGTTAACAGACTCATAAAGTGCGAGCCAATGGCTGGCTCACATGGGATGCCAGTGGAGCGCGCTTGGTTACTTATTTCAAGCCAAGATGGCATATTAACGCAATCGTGCATGCGTCAGCATTGTGGGGCAGCGACTTTGGAGCAAAGCGCTTCAATCATTGGCGGTCGAGGACACAATAAATCAATAAATCAATAATATTAGTCATGACAGCAGTTGACACAAGCTTTGAGTTGGGTTAGAATTTAAAAATCGCTGTGATGCCGCGCCATGTCATAAGCTAACGAAAACATGTTTTTCTTTGTCTCTTATTGGGGGGTGAGCCGTTGAGTTGCAGGGAAACATCTTGCACCAACTTGGAGAGAGCAATTTGTTTTCGCTTATTGTGATTGAGCCGTAATCAGGGTTAGAGTGGTTTGGGCATTTTTTCATGCTGGTGAGTTTTGATTTTGCTTTTTGGTTTTTGTTTTGAAATTCAGTTATTTGTAGTTATTTTTTTAGAGCACGTGTGTTAGTTTTTAATCTTTTTTTTTTTTCTTTTTGGGGGGAAAATGCTTCGTTCGCGTTCACTTTTTATTCATTTTAGTATTAGTTTCAGTTTTTTAGATTATTTGGAGTCTTTGTTGAGTGCAGGATTAAAATAAGGAGCATTGAGAAGGCGACTGTGTAATAAACTACAGTTCTCAAATGACCTTTCTTGTTCTTCTGCACGTGCATACAGCAAGACTAAAATACATTTTAAATGAGCCCCAAACAAACAACATTTTGCGATCATTATAGTTTCAAGTTAGTTTTATAACTGCAAGATATACATTCAGCTACTTTTTTTTTAATCATTTTGTTTTAATTTTTATTTCCCAAATGAAAATATTTTTTCAATTAAAGTTTTTTTTTTCATTAGTTTTTGTTAATAATAGAGTTCATGCGATGGGATAGTCTTTTATTTTGTTCTTTCCCCCATTTCATTCACGGCTAGTCAGTCTTCTGCCCACCGTACGCAGTAAAAAAAAAAAACAAACAAACCTGACTTGTATTTTTGAGCTTTACTCGAATGTTTTCACATTTTTAGCTCACCCATTTTTATTTCTTTTTAAACAGTGTAAAATCAGCTCATTTGAATCTACTCATGAAAACTAATTGCAGAACCCCACATGCCGCACGGCAGTTAAATCGCGTTCAGCCGTATCGCTCGGTGTGCTGCGAGCCTTCAATCCGAGGATTAAAAGTCGGAGCAGTTTGTACCTTCGGGCCTCGTAAACTCTCTGAAGGTGGGCAGAGAGATGAAGGTATGGGACACCGAGTGCGTGTCATCCAGGATGCAGGCAACGTCATTGGGCTGGCAGGACTTGATGCATCGTATGGGGTCGGAACGTTCGAGCCGTGACGATCTAGAGGACAAAACAAACATAAACAAAAGGCACACACGCACACACACACACACACATACATCTAAAGTCAAACCATTTGGAATTCAACCACAATTTGGCTCTAAAGTAACACAAAAAGCCAAACAAGGTACATGAGAGCTCAGTTCAGTGAGCATCTGAAGCGCTGGTCTCAAATTCAAGGCCCGCAGAACAGATCCACATCATCTTGTGTGGCCCTTTTTTTTTTGGACATATTTTTACACCTCTGGCAGTCAGCTATAATAGAATGTTAGTTATTTAACCATGTCAATTTATCTTAGTTTTGTATTTCCATCGTATCCCAAAATGCGTTCTGTTTGACATTAGTTCCTTTGTACAGACTTCCTCCCAATGAGTAAATTCTAATAAGGTTACTTGATACTGCATCAAATATGAAAAAAAAAACATTCAAATCTGGCTGATTACGAAGGAAAACAAAAAAGGCTCATGCAGGATATACACCCTTCAACTCGTAGACACACATGCGGCCGTCAATGTACTCGAGTGGGAGATGAATGATGACAGTCACGAAGAATGGTCCACAAGAATATTTGGAATCTTGGGGGCATCCCCAGATTCACATCCCTATAATCTCTCGGGGGAAAATTTATGGGCCAAGGGAGTGTTTCGAAAGCCTCCCAAATTGTGACAGACAACTCCCCGGCCGCTCTCCAAACGCAGCTCTCATCCTATTATTTAAAGGTTTGTTTATTGCACAACCTAATCAGTGACAGGTCGGATTGGGATGGAACACCCCAAAGCTAATGCCACCTGAAGTAGTGCTGGTGATATCTTTGTTGGGCAGGAAAACATACATATTGAAACGGAGCCAAAATGTTTTGATTTATCCTTTTTCATAGTCATTTGAAAAACATTTATTATGTTCATCGCGTAGTACTGCAGTTGCAGGCAATGTGTTGCCGATGTCACTGATATGTTACATAGAACAATCCTGTTCCGCCAAGCTAGTATCCGTTCAAAACGTGCCAATGCATACCGTTTCCACTCAGTGAATGACATGAACATTTTTACCACGTTTGAAGCGAGTTGTATGTATACACAATTGTCATACGAGGAAAATTACTGAGACTCTGAAGTGGAAAAAGGCGAGCCGCTGATGCTAATGCTAATGTTAGTCAGGGCATAAAGTGTGGTCTCAACTACATCTAATTTTATATTTCGCTGTTTAGTTTGTATGTATTTTGCTGTCTTGTTCCAAATATGATATCATGACATTCATCCTGGTGTGCTCTTAACATGGTGAACTAGCAGCTAGCTGCGTTAGCCCTCCATTCACTCGGACAAATTAAGGTGTTTGGTGTCAATTCCATTAACTCGACTGGGACTAGCGCCACTGAAATAGTCCGTTTTTGTATAGTAGGTAGAATGATACATAATATTGATATTGTCATGATTTGTGATTACGGTGGCAGCATGGTGGTCGAGAGCTTAGCATTTCTGCCTCACACGTGTGGTTTGGCGAGTTTGCACTTTCTCCCCGTGCTTGCGTGGCTTCTATCCATGTACCATAGCTTCCGTACATATTCGAAAATCATGCCGGTTAGGTTCGTAGAGCAATGGCCATTTTTTTTTTTGGTCAAACTCAAAAGTTTGAGACACTTTAAGGTGTTGGACCTTGTGTGTAACACTGCATGTTGGCTTATGAAAACAACCAATAGGTGCAGTTGAAGTTCTACATGAGTTATGGTCCGTGAAAGTGTAATTCTCCTTAGGGAACCTATGGCTTGTTAGTTTAGGCCAATTCAGGTTGGTCTGGACTGGGTCGGGCTGCTTTTTCATGGCGAATTTGACGTAAAAGCCCCCGGACAAGACAGCCAGCCACCAGCGGGCAGGGGCTTGTAATTAGCAATTAGCGGCCGCTTCCAAGTTTCGCTCTAGCCCGGGCCAAACCCACAAAATGTTCTCCTGTTTTTTACACCAGCACGGCCTGAGCTACAGCGAGACCCGAGCGGGACTCTCTGGAGGATGGGGTGGAAGCTCTTTTGAGGTGGCAAGATGACTTGATGAGAAGAAAGTGAAGGATGAACCGCCCTTTTACGTACGCACGGTCAAAGCCGGGCTAGCGGGCTCAATACAGCGTCTTTTTCACGACTTTACATCTGTTTGTCCGCATGCGGATGCTCACATGCTTTTGTATGAGTGAGCCTGTGTTCCCGCTTTTTACGTGGAAACTCCCCCAATACTTGCAGACCAGAAAGAAAAACAAGACTTTCTTGGATGAAACCGCTCTGGTCAAGCCTCGGGCCTTTTTTTTTATTATTTTTGGTAATTATTATTTATAGCTGGTAAGTTGATAACGTCCCAACACAAACACGGCGGGGCATCATTCATTTGGAGCACGACGATGTTGCTGGACCGCAAATTGTCCAGATCCCAGAGTCCTATAACTCAAAAGTCAAAGCGGAAGCCATAAAAAAAAAAAAAAAATGTCCAGTGCACCACTAGGTTCTTATTTTAAGGATATCCCCCGCTCCTGTTCGGAAACAAGGACATGATGCGTGACAGCATCTGAATTTACACTTTTTGTAAGCCACGCTAACTGTAGATGACAAGCTACTTTGAAGGCCAGCGCCTTCAAGCTTGTAAATTGTCGTGTGTGACTTTAGCAGACGCTTTTTAGACATCAAAACATTCAAAGCTCACTCAGGCTCATTTCGGCCATAGTTTGAGGATTAATGCTGGATTAATGCAAAACTTGACTGACGAGGCTGACGCTCTGCTTATTATTTGGGGTTTTTTTTTGTCTTGATTTGTGAGCAAACAAATGAATTTAGAGCACAAGATGGTGGCCGCAAACATCACACCAAGCAGCATTTTGGCATATGGTGAACAATTCTTCAAAAAAAGAAGCTTCAAGTTGTTCACTGCCACTTCCAGTTTAATTTTTCTGTGAAGCTAAATGAAAAGATAATGTCATGCTGTGTCTTCAATTAAACAAAACAAGTTTGTTTTATAAAAGCCCACTAGCTTAATGCTAACGCACAAGGCAAAACGCATGGTGGCGGACTAATAAACTAGCAATGTAGTTATAACCCTTTCAGCAGTGGAATACAAACAATACTCACAGGCATCTGTACTTTTGTCATGGTAGTATGAGATGATGATCTTAAGACATGTTTTGGTGGATTTCTATTTTTTATTTTATTTATTTTTTCGATATTTGAGGACAGACTGATGATGTATACTATTGTGTTAGCTCATCCCACTAGCCGCTAGCTACCGTCCATTGTACTTGTCATTTTTGATCACAAGGTAGTTTTTGGATGAATATTTTTAAGCTATTGATTAAATGTTAAACTTGTGGGGCTGTTAAAAATGTGTCATGTGTATTACCAACACTCAATTGGCAGCTTAGCGAGTTGTTTTGTTTTCAGAACGTTCACTTTTGCTTACATGCTTGAAGAACAGATTTTTATTTTTTGACATGATGAGCGATGATGTCTTGTCATTTTACCTCGTCGGTACACTTAGCTGTGTTGAATTTAATCCGATGTCACCACAAAGCACTTGTGCACTTTCACTCAACAGGGCCAACCGCTTTTAGGATTTTACCCTGACCTAGTGCGCCACCTAGCTGCTACTTTGGTGCCCTGCTTCCAGCGACATGATGCATTCAAGTGGTTGATTTTAAAAGGACGCCACCATGTGGATCGACGACATCTTGCGGCAAGTGGTGAGTTATCGTCACTCGATTAAAAACCAAAGTACTGTATGCCCTCAAAACACTTGGACACTCTGTTAAGTAAACGATCCAATGAGGTGCACTGCAAGAGCTGTTTTGTATCTAAATTTGCCTTTACAAAGAAAATAATGCTCAGTTTTCATTGATACTTTGGTGATGAAACTGAACAATTTCAAATAAAAAATTAAAGGGGAGAAAAAGTCATACCCTAAGGGAACAGTTGTTCGATAATGGGGGAATAGTTGTTCGATAATGGGAGTATCAGTAGGTTTTTTTCTGCTTTTATTAGGAATTTACCCACTCCCTAAAAATAAGTTTAAAAAAATCCTCAAAACTGCAATTTTCTCTCATCATGTTTTGACTTTGTTCTCGTAAAATTACAACTCGATTTTCATACAATGCTTTATTTTGTTAAAAGCAAGCAGTTCATTCTTGGAAAATTGTAAATTTTTTCTCTTTATCGAAAGACGTTGTTCCCCAAAACTTCTGACTTAGAAAATGTAAACTTTTGATTGTCTTTTTACAACTCTGCCCTTAAAATGAAGACTTCATCCTCGTAAAATGACAACTTCATTCTGGTAAGTGTGCCAACTTCCCGCAAAATATCATTAATTTATTCTCATAACATTTCAGCTTTATTCTTTCAACGTTTTTTTTTTTTTTTCTCAGAAAACTGGCTTTATTCTTGTAAGATTAAAAACTTTTTTTCTGGCAAACTACAACCATTTCTTAAAATTGAGACTTTTTTTTTTTTTTTTTTTTTGGTTTTGTTTTTAAATATCATAACCCCATTCTGTCTGTCATATTCCGGCTTTATACTAGTTCTCGTCCAAGTGATATCGTATTCATATTCTAGGAACATGACTTAATTCTCCGACTACTGGGCATTAACGATGAGACGTCACAAGCGAGCCGCGGTTCTCATTCGAGCTGCGGGTCGTAAACGACGCGGGGCTCGTCCTCGGTGACGAACACCAGCACTTTGGCCAGGTACGTGCTGAGCGTGCCGTAGCGACGCAGTCCCAGCTCCACGGACAGCTCAAAGTCCCGCGGGCTGTCGAAGAGCCGCGCCACGGACATGACGCCGCCGCCGGCGACTTGCTCCGCCTTGAAGAAGCCGCCCTCGTTACCCGAGGTGATGGCGATGCCGATGTCGTCGCCCGGCACCATGTGGGAGGGGCCCATGCGGAAGATGTTGGTGAAGACAGGGATGTTGGTGGGGAAGGTGAGGTGGTAGTAGGTTATTCTCAGCGGCATGGCCAGGCACTCGACAGACTCATTGCAAAGCAAGCGTTCACATCGACTGCGAAGAGAGAAAGAAAGAGACAGGTGGGATAGTGTTGGTGGGGGGGGGGGGGTTCACAGGGAAGGATCGAACAAAACAAGCAGAGAGAAAGAGAGAGACCATGTGAATTCAATGTGCCGTGCATGGCATGCAGTGAGGGGCAGCCTCGCGCCACAGAGGGGCTCAAGGTGGGCTCATGCAGGCTTCTTATGGGGAAAACAGGCTCAACTAGAAAATTTTAGGAAGCTCTTAATTTGTGTCAATTTTCATTGAGCTTCCTAAGACATGCTGCTTGCCTTGAAGCTCACTGCACTTTTTTAAAAATAATTTTAAAACAAAGATGTCTATTGATAAAAAGGGGAAAAAAACTTCAACATGCTGAAAGCTGTTTAATGAACATGCTTAAAGGCACTTCAATTATATGATTCCAAATTTGGGCTTTTTTTTTTTTTTACTGTAAACGAACGTCGACTTCTAATCAGTTGTCAAACGGCATAGCTGACACACATGCCCCGCCTCCCGCCATGGGATTAATACACACATATATATATATATATATATACATATATATATATATATACATTTTTTTTTTTTATCTTTTTTGAAGGCCAGCCAGTGAGGAATATACACGTAAAATCACATGTTTAGCTCGCTTCTTACAAACGGGAGACAAGGAGCCACACCGGACCCATTTTGCTGAGTAAAATGCGTCGTTTTCAGTGCGCCATTTCCGGCACGTCATTTTCGTCACCGGTCGACACGAAATATAAAACAGCAAAATTTTAGAAGGGCTAATACACTTAATCACCAGTGCGTCATCTCGTCGAGTAGTGAGTGGCTTTGGTGACTTTTTCCTCAACAACAACAAAAAAGTTACCCACTGCAGCTTTCAACCCCATTCATGTACATCAAATGCCAAACGTCATCAGTTCAACCTTAAAGTGATAAAATGCCCTATAAGAATGAATTTCCAAATTTTTACACTTACGTTTCCCCGACCTTGCGGTAGTTGTTCGGACAATCAAAGGACAGGCAACGGAATCCACCCTGCACATTGAAGCAACTCTGGTTCTCTGCGCACGTGTGCGTCCCTGCCACACATTCATCAATGTCTAGAAGGAGAAAACAAAAAAAGAAATATTAAAATATGAATGCGTAGTGCCCATGAACTCGTTGGCATGGTCCTCCGGGAACATGAAGGTGTGATACTCAGTGTTGATTTGAATTGACCTTGGCAGCTGCGTCCGTTGGGTGCTAAGGTGTAGCCGCTAACGGGGCAGGAACAATGGAAGCTTCCGGGTGTGTTGTGGCAACGGTAGGAGCAGATGTGCCCCCCAGTAGGCAGGGCACATTCGTCTATGTCTACGAGTAAACAAAACAAAAAAAAAAAACAAGAGTGAATCTTTGGAATGTTTCAAATGCTGTGAGACGGCATGTGTTGCTTTGCGCAGATATGTTTTTTTACCTTCGCACGTCACGCCGTCCGTGTCGCTGAGCTGGTAACCGCGGCGACAGTAGCACTGGTACGAGCCGTACACGTTGGCGCATTCTTGGCTGCACGGGTTACTCTCGCACTCGTTTAAATCTACACAAACAAAGATGCCGATGTTAGGAATACATTCATATTGAGGTGTGTGGAGAAAATGCAAAATGGCCTTCGTGTGGTGACCCTTTGTATTCATTCATATCGAATCAATATGACAATTGGTAACCCGATCAACGCATAGAACAACAGTTTAAAAATATCGACAGAATGATGAAAATAATGGGGGATGAACAAGAATGTATAGACTATCATATTAAATTGGGGAGTATGCAGTTAAAAAAAATACTTTTTGTCATGCATGGTAAAACTGTGTGTATGACCTGACAGTAGAATATTATTAAAATGATCTTTTGAAGGATCATCCTTCTCTGGACCCAATTTATACCTCAAATTATTTTTTTGGTAATTATTTTTTGTAAACTCCGTGCCTTGTCAAGAAATAGCCTATCAAAGGCTGTCGAGACAGAGACATTCTTTTGCAACTTTGTGATATATTCCAGAAAAACTGTTTTCATTTCACATTTACAATCCAAACTTGTATTTCCATAACACATTACAAAATGTTTTATGTGTTATCACAATTTCGTCTCAAGTCTTAAAGGTACCTCAGCTTGAATAACATAAAGAAATAATGCCTAGCCTGGTCCGCTCATTAGCATAGCCATGATAACCGAGGATCAATAAATAGCTCCGATTACCATCACAGTTCCTGTTATCCCTGGACAGCTTGAAGCCAGTGGTGCAGCTGCACTTGTAGGACCCTGGCGTGTTGTCACACTTGTGTGCACAGAGGCGTCCGGGAAAGTGCCTGCATTCGTTCAGATCTACAACAGAACACGTGTACAGGATAGCGGTCATGTGCGCCATTGGCTGACGTCGTCCTGCCCCCCGTCTTCTCTTCCAGCATTACCTTCACACAGGCGACTGATGCTGTTGAAGTTGTAGCCGTTGTCGCACTGGCAGTGGTAGGAACCCATTGTGTTGATGCAGCCGTGACCCGCGCACACCGGTTCGGGACCTTTGCACTCATCAATGTCTTAGATCGAGAAAACGACATGTCAGAGCATCCTAGGGTGAGGCAATATAACCTTGAAAGAAAATCTCAGATTTTTATGGGAGGGGGTTTTCTGCCTTATAGAAAAAGCAAATGACACTGACATTCAAAACAAGATTTGCTCCTCAAAGTGCACATCAGTTGGACACCCTTTGAACTTCAGAAGCAGCTAAAATATCGCCTGGCAAATGACGCCCAACTCAATGTAAGCATGGACCTGCCAATGTCAAGTAAACATTTTTGACCGGCAAATATGTTGGAATATATTTGCAAATACGTTTGAACATACTTGTTGGCTGAACGCTGAAAAAAAAAACCCTCAGTATTAAGTGATATGGAGAAAAAATAAAATGCCAAACAGAGATTATTGATATAATGCAGCCTAAATGGTAAATAATATATTTTTTAAATTATCTTATTTTATATATTTATTTATATATATAGAAATTTTATTTTATTTTTTTAACTTGCACATGCACGAGTCAATATCACATGGCATTCTGGAGAAAAATGTGGGAGCAGATTTTAGCATGCTGCTTACGAATTTCAAAGGATCTCCACACCAAAGTGCAGTAAGAGGAGCAAAACTTCAGAAGGGGGAAAACAAAGACTGATTTCAAACAAGAAATCTGAGATTTTACATTCAAACGTATTTGCAAATATGTTTGAACATACTCGTCAAAAATGTTTACTCCCCATGGCAGTTCCACGCTTGTGGACAACTCTAGGACATTGTTAATTACAGACAGCGCAGTAAGGCTCATACCAACGCAGCGTGTGCCGTCGTCATTGAGGTGGTAGCCCCTTCCGCAGTTGACGGAGTTCCTCTGGCACGTATACGAGCCCACTGTGTTGATGCACAGCTGCCCCCTTTGGCACGGGCCCGTCTGGCTCACACATTCATTGATATCTGCCAAGTAGACACACGCATGACACGGCTGTCAGGAAAATTAGTACAAGCCTAGAATTAAAGTACTGTTTTGTGTATGGGAAATAAAATCCCAGTGTTATATAATAGTCCCCCCCCCCAAAAAAAAAAGTTACGGTCATTATGGATTAACTATGATCACACCGGGAATCACAATCCCATCCAAATGGGTTGCTCAACTGTCTCGTGATTAGTATTTGCGTCATTCAGTTGAATTTAACACTCACCAATGCAGTTTCCCAGTGCATCCTGAATAAAACCGGCACCGCATTTGACCTTGGGGAGACAACGGAATGACCCCTGGGTGTTTTGGCATTCAAGCTCTCGGCCGCAGTTATGGATGTTGGTCTCGCACTCGTCAATGTCTGAAGAGATAAATGTTTAGTACAAACGACCACACGCGCCAAAAAATAAATAAAATAAAATAACCCCGTGTGCATGACGGACCTTTGCAGTTGTTGGCGTCCGTCAGTTCGTAGCCGGTTCCGCAGCTGACCTCTCGCTGGCAGCGGAACGAACCCTCGGTGTTGATGCAGCGCTCGCCCAATCGGCAGTTGCTGGCGCCCAGCAAACACTCGTTGATGTCTGTGCGATTACAGGAGAAGGAACTTGAAAAAGACAAAAAACTCCCATCGCAAAAGGATAACATGCAAACTAAAATAAAATTTGTTTTTTTTTTTTAGCAGTGCGGTAATTGCAAATTCGTCGACATATCACATTTTTCGGTGAACCTTTATTAACCTATTTGCTGAAAACTCACCTATTTGCTGTTTTTGTGCTTACAATAAAGCCATGCCTGATATTAAAAATAAATCAATAAAAAAAAAAAAACATCTTGCTTTGGCGCCACTGCTGGCATCTTGACACTTATGTTGAGCTGAGTGGAGGAGCTTCACTTGTTTTGTTGTTGCGATGATGCCTTTGCTGATTTCACCATGATAAATAAAGGAAATGATGATGAGTCAGGCCATCGCTTCGTCTAATATACTAAAGTGCTTTGCTGCCATCTTGTGGCATGCATAGGCAATTACAAAACAGTGACTTGCAGATATTCGCGACAGGCAGGGCTCAGTCCCTGTGCCCCTGCTAAAAGCAAGAGTTCACTGTCATCAAATATCTTCAGACGATCTTCAGAAGTGAGACCCAGTACTTTTATCCATCAAGTTTCTTACCCTCACAGTTCATTCCATCCGGCTTCAGTTTGTAGCCTTTGAAGCAACCGCAGGTATCATTACTCACACAATTATGAGCGCATTTACCTGGGAAAAAAAAATATTGAAAACATATTTGGTGATAGTCCATCAGTCTATCCAGTTATTTTTTTTAAAAATGGTTTTACCGCACCATTACACTCATCACTTAATACTGAGTTGTCTCCGGTGTCCGGTGTTCCGTCTTTGTTCGGCACTGCAAGAGATGAAGCGTTTTTAGTGAGTACCTTTTTGGAAGCCACTTTCCCAGCTGCAAAAATCTAAACGAACAAGTTGAACTGTTGCGGCTGGATGAAGTGTTTTAGATCAGCTTTGCAATGTGCATTGCTGTAAAAATAATCACCTTATGGCCAACAAGCACTGAAAAAATAAGATGGGACCCAAATGTGATCATTTTTATTGAAAGCTAACTTCTTCAATGAGAACCCTAAAAAATAGAAGACATCCTTTTCATTGGACCACAACCCAAAAAATGTGCCTCATAATACTGGAATGTACATTGAGTTTTTTTGTTTGTTTTTTTAACTGTTTGAGGAACCCACAGCAGTCCTACTACGGAACGTCTCCCAACTGCAAAAATGGAATCACATCGAGACATAATTCATGTCAACACTACTCCACTATTACTTTTTGTTGGGCTGCAATTCATATCAATGCTTAAGATGTGAAATTAACCATATCAACAATAGCATGTACTTTGCCATATTCTTGAGAAGAATTTAGAATAACCATTCCCAAACAAGATGGGAGCTCCTGCATCAAGTACCTCACAGCAATGACCCTTTTCAGCCACTAGAGGGAAGTGTAGGACCACAACTCCTATCCATCAATACCAATCTTCGATCTGCAACATTCTTTGTTACTTCCCACCACCGAATGACATGCTTTTTCATTGTACCCACGTTCGGTCTGCCCCGCGGGCGCCGTCTGATTGTCTGGCACTCCGTCCACACAGCAGGCACGATACACCAGGCCGCACTGGTAGCCTAAAGACAGGCTGTGGTCGCAAGGAAGACCCTGCTCCTGGCCCGTCTTCCCCAGGAGGCAGCAGTCGCAGCACATCTGACACACACACACACACACACACAAGCGCACACATGCATGTTCAAGACCGATAGACTCCAGACATTGGAGGGGGGAAAAAAGCATCTTCTTTAGCGAACGGGGAAACTGCTTCCCATTTTATTTGTGTTTTGTCAGACAGGCAGCCGTCCATCAATCACACGAGAGGAACATAAACAGACTGGCGGACAGTCAAAGGTTATTGAATTGAGATGAGTTGAGATCATTCGTTCTGGTGGAAGCTCAACACATGAGTCAGTAGCAGTCTGGTCATTAAGCCTTGGGTGTATTTTATTAATTTTTTTATATATAGTGCCGTGGTGACCCACATTGTCTGCATTCAGATCCAGTGCTTCAGAGGGGACTTTAGGAACCGAATCCCCCAATAGCACCACTTTCACATATGCGTTGGGTTATTGCAATTTGGGCAGCAGATTGTGTTGGACTCTGGAGATTCTACCGTAGGGCACCTCATTACAAAATAATTGGAGTAGCGTAAAAAAAAAAAATGTTGAGGTTTCTTTGATGCTCACTGAATAAGTCTCTGCGATATACGAATGTCATGTGTGACGGCAGGTCAGGCATTTCCCCTCCGTATGCCATTGTGTCTTTCATATTGGCGCTCACTTGGAAACTAAAATTGCACAGACCTTGGTGGTCTTGGTCTCGCAGGTGTTGGAGAACAAGGAATCACATGCTCCTTGCTCTTTGGCCACAGTAATGCCGGTGGTGCACATGTTGTCTTCGAGCACTGCAACGCAGCATTGCTCTTGCACCGTCCTGTCGGAATAGAGACAGCGTCGTATCAATGAAAAAAAATTTAATCTGCTCACTCCAAAAGTCATCAACATAAACATGTTTTTTTTTTTTTTTTTGCTTTAAATCCTTCCCTAAATCCATCTCCGCAAGTCCTTACTCATCCGTCTTATGAACAGCAAACGCAAGCAAAACCACTTCCACACAAACATTGTTTGTTCCTGCGAGTCATTGGACGGGGTGACTAACAGTTTCCAACACATAAAAGATTGGCGTCAGTCACATCACTTGAGTGAAAGCGGTACCATGATTGGAGAAACTTTCCATGGAATTGAACAGAAATATATGGGGAAATTGTACAGTAATTGTAGTGGTGGCTGATGGGTAAAATACATCGAAACTTTCCAGTGGGTGGCACTTAATGGAAGTTGACCACCTTTTTTGCAGCCGGCTAGTGTCACTGTTAGCATATTTTCAAACAGTTTTTTGATACTCTATAATCATATATAGTGGTACCTCTACTTACGAAATTAATTTCTTAACTCGAAAATGTTGTAAGCAGAGACACGTTTTCCATGTAAATGCCCTAATCCGTTCCAAGAACCCCCCAAATTCAGACATAAATGTTTTATATAGCATAAAAATGCATCAAAATATGTCACAAATACATCTCACAATGAGATTATTGCACAACAAATAAGAGTTGTGCACAATGTAAAAAACTAATAATAAAAATGATGGTCATTTAACTTTGAACTGCGTCCTCATCGTGTTTTGCCGTCTTTAGTCCATTCACTCTCAGGAGTGGTTTTTGCCTGGCGTTTTGTCAAGAACTAATCCAAGGACGTTTGCTTTTGTCGGCTTGTAACAATCCTTCGAAAATATCCACGGCAAAAATCAGCATAGTGAGCGATCGGTATCTTGAAATTTCTTTCGTAGAAAGAGGCAATATTTTTCTGTTGAGGCGTTTCATAACTTGAAAATTTCGCATGAAGAGACGTTCATAAGTAGAGGTACCACTGTACGCATTTACTACAATATAGGGATCGACAGCGCTTCATTAAATAGTCAATCAGGGGTTGGATAAGCTCCCTTATGCACCTTTTCCTGCATGATGACTGTAAAGGACTGGAAATAACAAAAAAATCACCCACATGCTAATTGTATCAGCTGCCTTCATTTTCGTCTCAGAAGCTAAGAGGAAGACCAAAGAGGAGATTTACGGATGTGGTGAGGGAAGACGTAGTAAAACGATGCGCTGCCGTGACCCCCTGAATAGGGTTAAGTCAAAATGGAAAGAAGCAAGAGTGCTTTGAACTTCACGGAAACAGTTTGTCTTCCAACGAGTTCCATGCAAACATGAGTTTGGGGAGGTGTGGTGCGGAGGAATGTCCTGTAAATATCTTGGGCAGGTGTGCCATTAATTTTGTCTAAATACCGCCAGTGTCAAAATTCTTTCTTTCTCCCTCAACAAACTATCAGATTGTCTCCGTGTGATCGTTGACCTGCGCTTGTGCATCTCTGTGGGCTTTTACAAGAAAAGGAGCTGAACCGCCCCCACGCCCGTCTCCTCCCTTGACGTGTTCTTACCAGAAGCCCCCCCCCCCCCACTCCCTCACATGTGCAGCCTTTTTCGGGCACAACAATGTGTCCTCACCCTTTCTTCACCTCTGAGTTCCTGTTACTCCATCGTCTGTCCACGTTGGGTTTCACCTCCAAGGTATTTCCTGAAGCTGTAATCACCCCCCTCCTCCCCGCCCCCTTCATCCTTCTCTCCTATTATAGTGCCTCAAAAGCGACCTCTGCTCCTTTCATCCTGTGCTATAATTTGGACAAATTTTCAGATCGCTTAAGGTGGCGAGTCCTCCTCGGATTACGAGCAGGCGCGTGATTAACTCATCACGATTAGCCTGCAGGGAGGAAGCAATGTGGCTGCAGCTTTATGAAAAGAAAGGCAAAGCACTTTGATTTTGAAAGCCAGCAGATGCGTCTCCCAGGATAAAATAAGACGGGGAAGGAGGAGCAGTGGAGCTCAGTTTTACCTGCACGTCGGAGACTCGGAGATGAGCGGCAGGGTGGAACAGGCTTGGTTATCGTTGCCGCGGTTTTGGCCGTCTTTGCAGCAGTCCTCTATCGAGATCTGCGGCACTCCTGCACACGAGAACAGACAGACTTTTTTTTTTTTTTTTGTATTGATGGTCTGCTGTTCAGCCATTTTCAGGCTCAACAGACAGCTGGAGCCTATCTCGGCTTACGGAGCTCGAAAGGCGAGGTGCGACCTATGAACTGCTTTGTCGTTTGTCAGTGTGAGTTGGATTAGGCCTAGTTTAGCTCACATTGTAGTCGTCACTCTGTTTTTGATTGTTGTGCAGGACTCCTTGTGGCATTTTGGCTCCGATCACGGCCAAATCTAAAAATCCGCTATGCTGCATCTACGTGCACGTGTCTGCGAAAATACCAACGCAAAGTCTAACCTGCCCCCACATGGATTTAGACTGCATCTAGACTTTCGTTGGGCACAAAAATGGAGTCTGATATCTTTTTGTCAGCTTTTAGGCCACTGTCAGGTCCCTTATATCCATGCGACGACGAAGATAAAACAATACCTTAAAACATTGACTGTAAAGTGAGTTTTATGAAGAGACCAGTATGAGTCTTGAACAAATGAATTCACTTCATTTTATGTCCTATGGAGATTTATTAGATTTTTTTTTTTTTTTTGCAATTGGAACACATTCCCCACTTGACATTTTACAATAAGCAGCCAGTTAATCAATCATCTTCCTTGGGGAGCCTTAAGGAAGGGCAAGTGTTGGAAGAAAATTGCACCAGGATGGGTTATTTTATTTTATTTTGTTTCTGAGCTGCTATGGTCATCCCACACTTTGGTCGACAATCATCCATCGCGATCGTTCTCATGCCGGCGGTTTGCATAATTGCGTAAGTGTGTCGAGCTGCTCTGCCAAAAGCTATTCCGCATTTTGGCAGACTGACTCGACATACTCCTCCTGTCTGCTGCTTTTAACACTGACCAGTGCACCAAATTGCAAAACAATAAGCCCCCCTCCACCACTCCCCCCTCCTCAAGAGAGCCCCCAAAAAAATGTGTTGCTCTCTAATGCGAAAGAAAGAGCTGTTGCGAGGGTGCTTGCTTGCACGTGTCGAAATACGAGGAATAGGGCTTGTGAAATCCACCCTGAAAGAGTTCATCTGTTGGGAGACATGCTGATGAGTGCTTTATGATCTCCGGTCACAGATAATAATAAGTTCGGTCAGGCAGGGAGGACGTCAAGTGTCTGGAAGAGCAGCACTCTTGTTTTGGTGGATTTAAAGCATTGTCTCGAGGAGGGGGCAGGCTAGATTTGTGTGTGTGTGTGTGTGTGTGTGTGTGTGTGTGTGTGTGTGTGTGTGTGTGTATCCTCCAAAATGAGATCAGAGCTTTTAACAATTGTTATATCGTGCTGAGCTTGAGCTCAATTGGGCCTAAAAAGAATGACAATGATTCAGCATTACAAATACGAGTGGAGCCCCACTATTAGCAATTCGCACCTCCGTTTTTTTTTTCTATCGAGCCTAACATTCAAACATTCCCTGAAAAACTCAAACTTCGATGTCTGTACATTTTTTGGGACATTCACCAAGTAGTTCCCCGCAAACAGGAAAGCAGGGGGCATGGGCGACTGTACGACATCGACCCGCAGGAGCTCCTCCAGCTCTGTGGCCGAAGCCGATATGATGACGTCATGAACAAGCATTGTCACGATTTTGGTCAGTCGAAATGTAATCTATCCCGGAAGCCAAATTTATACCGTCGACTACATACACCGCCAGCCCCTTTTGGTGATAATCTTTTCAAAAGATGGCGCAAGATGTTGAAAGGTGGCCGCTAACGGCAACCCGCTCAATGGAAAGGGACAGCGAAAGATAAAGACTCGTCACTATCGGTTGGGCTCCAGATCTATTTGTTTTTGGGTCCAATATGGTTCTTTCAACATTTTGGGTTGCCGACCCCTGGCCTATAGGGACCCCAGGGGTTGTGTGGAAACATTTCGAGCCCTTTCTGACCTCTCACCTTGTCATTCAGTGCTTAACATCAAGCTTTTAACAGTGACTTTAGCGTCCTATAAATGTCACGCGGAGCACTAAAAGCCAACCAAAACATGACATTAGCAAGCCGAACAATGAGCTGCAACGCACCCGTAAAAGTGCTTTCAATCCACTGTTTACCAGGTCGTGCACTCCCTTTGAATTTTGTTCTCTTTCGCTTTTTCGGTTTGTTGTTGCAAGCGCGCTATTAAAACTTCACAGCGCATGCTAGCTGCTTTGCGAGCGTTGCACAGCTGAAGGTTGAGCTTGTAGACGAGGGGTCATAGCCCCCCCCCCCCCAAGTAGCAGCACGCAGGCCTGTTAACAAAATGCTGTAGCTCACGAACGATGCAACATTGTGATTTCCTCAGAGCGTTGTAGAAGTCATCGCTTGATACTATAAACAGTTGCGGCGTTTTGTAGCAGGAAAGTCTTTCATCTTGATATTGATCTGTTTCCTCCCTTGTTAAATAATTGTTGACTACTGTCAGAAATCAATAATAACATCAAACTAAAGGAAATTTTGTCATTTCACATGTGTACATCAAACTGGTAGCCCTTCGCATGAACCAGCACCAAAGAAGTTGCTATTTGTTTCCAAAAGGTTGGTCACCCCAGTTGCCAGACTATTTCCTCAATTTAATTGAGCCAAGGCACTTCGATGAATTGAAGAAATCTCACAGCACACTTTTCCTCCGTTATTTTCTGAAAAGGTCAACTATTGTCTGTTTTTGTGCTTGGGACAGAGCCATGTCTAATGTTAAAAAAAAAAAAAAAAAACGATTTGCTGTCATGTTGTTGCATCAATAGGCAATAGCAAACGTTTAAGCTAGCTGTCACGTTTTACTGAATCGTTAAATCATGATGCAATGCGCAGGTCAATACTAGAACAGCATTTAATTGTTCTACCTGTCAATATATGTCACTGGCGTAGATAAACGAACAAAGATGCATTCATGTTTCATCAAAGAAATAATCATGTAAGACCACTAAATGAATTTCTTTTGTTTCCGCGGAGCTTGATTGATAAGTGCCCACCACCACCAACAAATGCGTTAAACAGGCAATGTGCCTGCCTCCTATGATGAAATATTTTACATTCATACGTTTCATAATTTCCATGTTTGGCACGTCCCATTTGACTCTCTCCAGCAAACGAAAACCTTACAGCAGACCAAAAAAAAGGTTTATGAACAAAGGTAGTGTAGTAGTAATTCCAAGCGAAACAATCAAATGGTAATTAAAATGATTTCCATTCACAGTTGACATCCAAGGAGGAGGGGCTTCCATTATGCTGACTACAAGAAGAAAAAAAAAAAAGTAATCCAATTATCTTTCCCAACAGGGGCCACTGTAAGTGTTTTCCAAATTATCGTCATAGTTGGCATTCCAAGACCACCGCTGTCTCGGATGCTTAAAACCCAAGATTGAAAGAACAGAAGTGGCTCTTTTTTTTTTTTTTTTTAAACAAGAACGAAGCAAAGCAGACGCGGCGCTGTTGTGATGTATTGTCTGCTGATTTCCATCTTGGATCAGACGAGCGATGTGGGGGCCGTTCTCTTTCATTTTGGCATGACTCGACTTCGTCTAGACGCCTCGTGTAAACAAGACTTAATGAGACCACTGCAGCACCAAAATCCAACACCGAGAGCCAGACGTTGCAAGCTATCGAGCCAGCCATTTTGGGGGGGGCAAATTGCAGAAGAACTGCTAATGTGAAACCGTTATTAAATAAGCTAACGATATTGACTTTACAGTAGACCTGCAATTGTGTAAATCAGTTCTGCTTTGAGGTAGGCACATTGCACTTTGTCCTCTTTTGTGTGAAATGATCTGGCTCATGCTTATTGCTACGTGACCTCCAGCAACATCGTCCCTCTGGAAAAATGACCTCCGCAAATATATTGCGAAAAATCCGCGAAAAGAAATTGGATGAGTGCGATCTAAAAATCTGAGTGAGACCACAAAAAAGTGAAACACGACATGACGAGGGGTGGCTGTATCTCGCTAAATACGTGCCCATAGGTCATCTCTGCATCTTCATATAATTTGCGTTTAATGCATCAACCATCGATCTGCTTACCAGTACTCAGGATATGACGAAATATTGATGTTGCAATATTTTCTTCAATATCGTTTTCTGTCAACATACGAGGCATCGTTTGGGAATATCAATGCTGTGGCCTTTACATCAGCAAGTATTTATTTTTCTTTTTTTTGACCAATCACATTTTGGTTTCACCAATCTCGAACCCTCAAAGTGACATCAGCATTTTTCCCTCCTCTAATTGCTTGAGTTAAGTTTGTCCCTCTGGTTTTGTCGAGCCTTAAATACGCAACAAAGATTGATTTGCGGGTGACCGCGATGTTGGACATGATTAGAAATTCATTGTCAAGGCCCACTTTTCAAGAAAAATTGGACCAACACTGTTGTTGGAGGGCTTGTTTCATCCCAGTAATTATTTCTTGGCACACTTTCAGAGCAGTAGGTCTATTCATGAGCGTACCAGTTAGCCTACACGGGCAGGCATGAGCAAAGAAATGTGGTTTGCTGCGTCTGCATCAGCCTAGCTATTTTATTTACCGACCGTGCAATCTTTATCTAGCTCCAACTTGCAGCATCCAAAACATCCATTCATTTATCTACGAGCCATTGCCTGCATGCTGCCACACTAAAACAAGAAAATTGTAATCCTCCAGTACCAGCTTCACCTCTCAAATTGAATAGGAATTGAATGTAAAATCCTACAAGGCACTAAATGGTCAGCTTGACCTGAAGGAGGGTACGCTGCCCCGTCAAACCACGAGAGCGCTCGTCTCACATTTCCTTGCGATTCCCAGAATACACACAGGCAGGACGAGGGGGGTGGAGCAGAAGCTGCAGGTTTGTTGTACTGTTTTAAAAGCCCAACCTGCTTGTTGGCCCCCACCGACTGTGAAAGTGGTCGCACGTACGCGCTTGCGAGAGGCTCCGCGCCGTGACGAACCTCCTGTATAAATCGCACCCCTTTGCGGAGACCGCTTGCCGAGATCGCGGCGAGAAGTATGTGTGAGCTTTCGCATCGTCGGCTGAGGCGTCCATGCCACACCGAGGCGCCTGGCCTTTGAACTTGTTCAAACGTTCCTCAAGTGGAATCCATCACGAGCAACAGGATGCTCCATTCAGCCTACATAGTTGTGCATTATTATACAAGGTGAAATTAAGAATACGAGGCGCACATGGCCGCACGTGGTCAAATGCATTGAAGTCCCATTCGAAACACATTCAATTAATATATGTGGCAATAATAACGCATGAAGCTAGTCGTGCATATTATACAAGGTGAAATTAAGAATACGAGGTGCACATGGCCGCAAATGCATTGAAGTCCCATTCGAAACACCTTCAATTAATATATGTGGCAATAATAACGCATGAAGTTGAATGACAGAGATGCAAAAGCTGAAGTTAATTTTTAAAAGGTTGCATTGATAAAATGAGAACGTGTTTAGTGTATCCCCGGAAAGGGTATGTGACAAAATGTAGAGAGCAGATACAATATGAGGTGTTTAAACATTTTATCTGTCAGATTCGACACATGCAGTGATGCAAAAAAAAGCAAATGATGATTATGTGATATGAATGGTGAAAATAAATCTACAGGTAATTGACAGCAAACTCTCATCGATTCCGCTTCAGATGGAAACTTGAAATGAAACTTACCTTGAACAAGCAGGACTCCCAGCACTGAAGTGAGCACAACAATCCACAGCCCCATGAGGTGAGAAGCAAAGATCCGCACACGTGCTATTCAATTGGTTCAAAATGTGAAGTTTAACTTTGGAAAAAAAAGAAAAAATAAATGCGGGTGGTCCTTTACAAAACTAATAATAATAACAAAAAATAAAGACTGACTGGCTCTGAAGAAGACAGCAAAGGAGTGATGCAGTGCAGCTTTGCCTGTCTGCAGGAGTGAGCCTCGACTAAATGACTGCGTGAACCGTCACAGGCGGGCTGGACCCACACACCCACTCGACTCCTCTCCACTCCACTTCTATCCTTCTTCTGCTGCACCAGCTTGGCAACTGTGGCCTAACATTGCATTGCAGTGACTGCATGCATTCATGTGATAACATTAAGTGATTCATGTGTACTCATTCTAATGTCATTATAGTCAACATGTGGGAGCTAGTTTGGAATTCTCAGTTAGTTGAGGGCTTTTTTTTTTTTTTTTTATAATGAAAGGTGATGGTCAAATCCACACCGGATTTTATAGAATAGCTGTTGCGATATCTTGAAAAACGTTTTTTGTTAATTTGCATAATGCTTGTACTGAGATGAAGGGGAAAAAATAGCTTTGCTGCAAGCTCAATTTTGACAGGATTGTCAGAACTGAGCAAAAACAACATAACCAAAATACTAAAATATCTCCTGATGAATGACTGAAAAGTCATCAGAAAAACTAAAATAAATACTCAAGTCAAGTACAGGTCTCCAAAAGTCCACTTAAGGAAATCCTTCCTTCCGCTGTTGGAAGCTCATGTTTCAGCTTCATCCTGGGCTCCCCCTACTGTTCTCAAACACAACTTTTTTTCAAGTTAGAGATTTACAAACAATAATCATCACTGATGCAAGTACATATTTATGCAACAGCATGAATACAATTTCATTATCCCACTTGAGAAATGCAATTTTCACTTTTTTTCCATGAATTACAAATGCGGCCGTTACTTATTTACTTCAAAGCAAACGTCTATTGTATTTATTTTACAACCAACAGTTATCTGAAAGTGACAAACATAAAATATGTAAACACACACACACACATACAAAAAACGATTTAGTTCTAGTTCTAGTACCAGGTCTATGATATACGGGTGACCACAGCTGGTCACTCATTGGTTGACCAAATTCATCATCATTCTGTAACATTTAAGCTTAGATAGCTTGAGCAAATCACAAAAACAAAAACACATACTAACTAAGGTCCGCCCGATTAATAGACTGGCTGATTTAATTGGCCGATTATTAGCTCACATTACCCACATAACACATTACACCGTAAGACAAAAATAACGACATTCAAACGCTCCCTCTCCAAGCCCCGCCCCACCCCAAAAAGGGCAAAAATCAGTCAATTCATCTCTAGGGTTGTAAAGAATAAGTTAATTTAATTCATTATTTATTTTTAAAGTGACTCGGACGCTTAATACGGAATTTTATTCTGCTAAATTTTGGAATCGGCATCAGCCTCAAAATAGCCGGCTCGATCGGGGCCTCATGCTAACATTAGTTTAGCCTGCTGCCGTGCCTGAGCTTTTGTTGATAGATGGTCCGTATACTGGTCCATTTTCATGTTGTATTTATTTGCCTCTCAAATAAAAGTCAGAATGACAAAAAAGTAAACGCACATGCTAACATGAGCTTGCGTTACAGCAGCGTCTTCGTGCGACACGCTAATTATTCCGCTGTCTCCACTTTGCTAACACGTTGCCTTTCCGACATTAGTCTCCGCTCCAATAAAAAATTGTATTCTGCTAAATTTTGGAATCGGCATCAGCCTCAAAATAGCCGGCTCGATCGGGGCCTCATGCTAACATTAGTTTAGCCTGCTGCCGTGCCTGAGCTTTTGTTGATAGATGGTCCGTATACTGGTCCATTTTCATGTTGTATTTATTTGCCTCTCAAATAAAAGTCAGAATGACAAAAAAGTAAACGCACATGCTAACATGAGCTTGCGTTACAGCAGCGTCTTCGTGCGACACGCTAATTATTCCGCTGTCTCCACTTTGCTAACACGTTGCCTTAAAAAAAAAAAAAAATGTCAAAAATAAACAAAGACGCTATAATTATCTGTTGCTTTACCGGAGCCACTGTTTAGTTTATTACACAGAACAATACACATACATGCTAACATTAGCTTATAATGCTGCTGCACCTTAATTTTGGAATTTAAATACTGTACTCCTCACTGTCCACTTTGTTGCAGTGTTACTTTTTTTCTTTTTTTTTTTCTTCAGTCTCTTCTCAAAAAAAAAAAATACTAATAGCGACACAACAGTAGTAGGTTTTGGAATTTAAATACTGTACTTTGTTGCAGTGTTACTTTTTTCTTTTTTTTTCGTCAGTCTCTTCTCAAAAAAAAAATACTAATAGCGACACAACAGTAGTAGCAGCAAGTAGTCGCCATGACCCTGCGGAGCGTCAGCTGTGCTCACTTTTCCTTCTTATTTACTCGACTTGAAATCCCCAGCTGTACACAAAGTAAATGTAGGACAGATGTAACACGCTGTCGGGCCAAGAGATGGTGAGTTGCTGTGCACATGCACTCGCACGTGCACACGAGGTTCTGGAAGCAGAGGGGAGAATAATTGCTCGGCCGTATTTTAAACATTTTGTACCAACTACAGGCGCTCTGCAAATTCAATCAGCCAGCTCTGCCGGCTCTGGGAACGGTGACAGCGAGAGGTTGGGCGATCTTCTAATCACAGCCACATGTCTCTGCCGCCGCTCTCGAAATTTTCACTCAGGGTTTGATATCGGGACACCGCAAAACACGGAGGCAAGGCCGCGAGAATACCAGGGCCATAAACGCGCACATCCACTTTGTAGATCGTGACGTGCGACAGGTCACGTCTTAATCCAAATCTGTGCTTATTGCTCAAAAAATAAAAAATCTGCCTGTCTTCGCAATAGCATGAGAAAGTTTTGATGAGTGTTGGCGTTTATAAATGGAGTACAGTAAATGGTCTGTAAGTAAGCAAAGCCCCGATGAGAAAGTTTTGATGAGTGTTATATAAATTTATAAATAGAGTACAGTAAATGGTCTGTAAGTAAGCAAAGCCCCCAAAATGTTTACAATTGCCGTTATTATACATTTAAAGCAGGAGTGCCCAACTTTTTTTGACCCAGATCTACTTTTCCATCAGCCAACCCCCCCTCGGCTTAGTTTTAGAAGAGTTGTAGACGGCGAGTGTGAGATGCCGGGGAATAGAATACTTTCCGTCACACTAATGGACGGCCTCCAAGTTGTGTTAACGAGTCTTCAGTACGACCGGGGTTGAGTTGCGTGCACCTCATTTGACGGATTGGCGGACGAGGTTTCTCATCGGCGCTGTAATGGCAATGTCAAATCATTTGTCTTGCCGGACAACCACGGCAATCGCGGCCTGTTACGTTTCCCCATCCCAGTCACCATGAAGGGAACAACTCTCGCAAAGCATTCCCAAAGGATCTGATGGACCTTGTGTGATCTCAACAACAAAGACCATCCTGATAGCTAATCTTATCTTTTCCTCGAGAGGCTTTCGAGAGCTGCACATCTGTCGTGTAAATGAGATATACCCCAGCGTCAGGCTCCCTCATCTGGGGCAGCTTCTCGTGCCTGTTAGCTCGCAATCTAGCCCGAAATCAGCGGGGGGGTGCTGACCTCCGAGCTCCTGGCTGGAGGAAATTGGAGTGGTCGAGGTCACATTCAAACAGCGTCAATCTTGCCAGCGGGGGTGCGCCGCCATTGCTTTGAAGCTCAGCATAGCTTGTCTTGCCACGTCTGTGTCAGTCGGCCCCAAAAGCCCCCCCCCCTCCAGTCATGTTGCACAAGCACTTGGAAGAAGTTGTTAGAAAAAGGAACAAGGCGTTAAATTGCTGTTTACAAAGCAGACTTGGACGTAGAATGAACTTTTGTCAAATTTGGGATGTTTGGATAGCTGCTGTTATTGTTCCAAAGGGTCTCAAGTGTTGTCATTGTATTCCAATTCTTCTGATGATAAAGGCTTGTTACAAATGTCCACCTTGAGTTTACGGTCGTGTCTTTCACCCGGAGCATAATGCCAGAATATAATTGCCGTTGTTTATCAGCTCTCTGTGACAGAGCGACAATTGCACAACGGGGCAGCAGAAGTGAGTTACAGGTGCGAAACTTCACATCCGTTTCTGGGCATTGCGGAATAAACTGACGGAACCAAAGTGTTGCCATCAGATACGTTCAACCTGCCGACAAAGAATCATGAAACCATAATAAGTGCTGCCACCATTTTTTTTTCAGCCCCAGCAGTTGCTTCAGAACTCAGTTGAGACAGCAGAGATGTGCTTTGAAATAGTGAGCCGATATTGTGACCTGCCGTCATCTGGACGATTTATTCATTTATTTATGTTTTTATTTTGCTTGACTTGCGGCGAAAACTTGAGTTACGAGCACCTTGTAGTGGTAGAAAACTCAACTCACTTGACACAACACAAAATAGGAAACAGAGGGGCGAACGGCTAGAATGTACGTTGCTGTGTCATAAACCTTTTAAGCAACTGATAATCGAACTCAAACAAGTGGAGCAACACATGTAGACGGGCAATACTCAAAAGTCATATATTCTTTATCCTCTGTGAAAAATGTTTAATATTACTGCTGTGGTGAGGAGCTGAGAGAGGAGCTGAGACCATTTCCATGTACGTCCGTCTAATAAAATCAAGAACAACAGCAATATTAGTAACAAATGTGAACAATGAGGAACATATTTTTGTTCATACAAATATATATATATATTTTTTTTTTACACTGTCAGCAAGGTAGTAGTTGACCATTGGGGACAGCTCTGTTCACGTTTTTCAGCTTACAGCTCTTGTGGTGGACTTTATTGGCTTGTGCAGGTCTAACTCAAGTTTTATCAAATGCGTGGATAAGGCCTATCTCATTAAAATGAGCTTGAAAGCTTGACGAATCATTCCCAGGGTTGTTAGATGTTAGTCTCTTGCTTCATACAGTTGTAACAGCTTGGTCCCATCTTTATTTATAGTGTCAAACAATGTTTTGGATCCACGTCAGCGTTATCCTCGGAACCAAAACACACCAAACTAGACTAAACAATCGTAATGGGGAGATGGGATCAAATAGGTCTCAGCAAGTTTTGGCCGCATCCCCGCCGCTTTTACTTTGAGGTCTCGACTGGCGCTGTGGTCTCATGCTTCTTGAAAGACATCCATCCTGCAAAATAAAATTGCAAAATGGGTACATCCTTGCTGACAATTAGATGCTTGAGAAAAGCCTTTAAATGGCCTCGCTCCACCTGCCTCAGGTCTGTGGACCAGACACAATTAGAGGTACCAAGAACAAAGCGGAGGCTCAGAGGGGATCGAGCCTTTTCCGTTGCCGGTCCCTCTCTTAGGAATGACCTCCCACTGTTGGGCAGGCCCCCTCGCGGCCCATCTTTAAAACGCGTCTTAAAACTCATTTTATTCCTTGGCTTTTGACTCAGCATGACTCAGACTTGATCTTAGTGTTACTGTTTTTTTTGTGCTTTGTTTACAGTGGTGGTTGTTTTAAAGTGCTCTATAAATACAGTTGAATTGAGTTGAGTTGACCTACGTTCTCTGTTGGTACCCCGCGTTCATGTTCCCGATATTTCTGCCAACAAAAGCTCCCAGCGTTTTTACGATGTCAACGCCATTAAAGTCCACCCTTATCGTGTGCGCAAATAAACACATGGGAGTTCAAGGTCGGGTTCAAGGTTCATCCGCCTGCACTCAATCAACGATTAGGGGCTAAAACAGCGCACATGTGAATGGATCCTCCCGAGCAAGCGAGACAATGAACCTGACCTCAGAGAACCATTGGATTCCTCTTCGAGACGGGAACCAAATACCGCTGCTGGGATTAGGCACATATGGAGACCCTCGGACGGTGAGGAGGAGTTCGGCGGAGTGTTTGGATTTTTGACAACAAGCCGGAAGGACTCAAATGTGCTTTTCCACCCCACTCTTCTTCATAGACACCAAAAGGTACAGCTTTGGAATGTGTCAAGCAGGCCATCGATGTGGGCTACAGGCACTTTGACGGCGCTTTGGTGTATTTCAATGAGCACGAGGTGGGTCAAGCCATCCGGGAAAAAATTGCTGATGGAACTGTGAGACGAGAGGACATCTTTTACTGTGGCAAGGTAATTTCAGTCTATTGTGTTGTTTGACTTGGATGCGTTTGCGATCAAAACATGTTATGTAATGTCCTTCTCCAGCTCTGGAATACCTTCCATCCACCAAAACTCGTCAGACCGACCTTGGAGAGGACCCTGAAGGCCCTAAAACTGGACTATGTGGATCTCTATATCATTGAGCTTCCAATGGCCTTCAAGGTTGCAAGCACACTTCAATACAGTGGTACCTCTACTTACGAACGTCTCCTCATCCAAATTCTTCAAGTTACGTAACGCCTCAACAGGAAAATATTGCCTCTTGTTCCGAAAGAGATTTCAAGATATGAAAGGTAAAAATATAGAATGAGCTTCTACTCGCAGCTCCGAGTTTCCTGAACATACTTTTAGCAGCTCTGCCATTGGCTATTACCGAGCATCATCCTGGCATCCCATTGGCTGAGAGGGACTTATACCGTAGGTGTCTGTGTGTGTAGATCGATAAATAGATGGGCCATGAGGCGTCCCGATAGTTTTACGTGAATGTGAATCACCCGGAAAAAGTGTTCACCAGTCGCGTGATCGCTCACGATGCTCATGTTTGCCTTCGACATTTTCGAAGGATTGTGAAAAGACGACAAAAGCAAACATCCTTTGATTGGTTCTTTACAAAATGACAGGCGAAAACCACTTCTGAAAGAGAACATGAACTAAAGAGGACAAAAAACGATGAAGGCGCAGTTAAAAGTTAAATGACCATCATTTTCATGTTTTGTTTTTTACAATTTGCACAACTCTCATTTATTGTGCAATAATCGAATTGTAACATGTCTTTGTTACATATGTTGATGCATTTTAATGCTTCATAAAACATTTATGTCTGAATTTTGGAGGGCTTGGAACGGATTAGGGCATTTACATGGAAAACGCGTCTCTACTAACAACATTTCTTCCAGAACCAATTAATTTCGTAAGTAGAGGTACTGCTGTACATGCCTAAACTCACACCCGCCCAATCTAAGGACAGCCAAAATGAGAGATGTGATAGATTGCTTTTGATTGTGTTTACTGTTATGGTTGTAGTTGCAGCAAGCAGTTCACAATCGCACTGCGTCAAATAAAGCTCGCTCCATGTATTTTGGTGTGATGGCTGAACTAATTGTGCTTGCGTTTAAGCCCGGCAATGAATTCTACCCTAAAGACCAGAATGGGAAGTACATCTACCACCACACAGACCTCTGTGCCACCTGGGAGGTATTGAACCTTTTTCAATTGGCTCTCTAATTGCAGACCTTACCTTTTTCATTCATGTTTACGGAATGTGCACTTGCTTCTCTTTCTTCATCAGAAGTTGTGGCAGTTGGTAATCATAATTTCCTGTGCAGGCTTTAGAGGCATGTGTCGACGCAGGCCTTGTCAAGTCTCTGGGAGTGTCCAACTTCAACCGCAGACAACTTGAACTGATCCTCAACAAACCCGGCCTCAAACATAAGCCTGTATCCAACCAGGTGCCACAAAAATAGCTTTTTCTGTTTGGCGTTCATAAAGTCTGATTTTGGTGTTCGTTCGGAAAAATAAAACTGTCGGCCAGCAATAGCGTGTTGTGTCCTGTCGTCCAGGTGGAATGTCATCCTTACTTCACGCAGCCCAAACTTCTGGACTATTGCCGTCAAAACGACATTGTTATTGTCGGCTACTGCCCGCTCGGTTCCTCCAGAGATGCATCCTGGTATGTGCAAAGACGTTTTATTGCTAGCTTGTAGACAGTTGCAGGAAAAAGGCAAAGCAAGGCCCCTTTACCCAAAGAAAACGTACGGACTGAACAAAAAGGGTCCGAGTACTGACTCTTGAGGGACTCCTCATGCCACAGCCATTCGATCGCATTTAAAACTTCCAATGGACATAAAATGCCTCTTTTCCTCCAAGTAGAACGTGAACCATTTCAGGACTGTTCCATTTAGCCCCACCCAAGTAAAAAAAAGTATGAATCCATTTTTTTGGGCAGATAAACGTTTGACACGGCGCATGTCGTTTGCTTCCATCGTACTTTGGTGCTCGCTTTCTACACTCATCATTGGTGAGCTGTCTTCTCCTTAACAGGGTCAATGTGAAATGTCCTCCCATGTTGGAGGACGAGCTGCTTGTCTCCATCGGGAAGAAGTACAACAAGAGCAGTGCTCAGGTGGCTCTGCGCTTCAACGTGCAAAGAGGAGTGGTGGTCATTCCCAAGAGCTTCAACCCACAGCGGATCAAACACAACTTCCAGGTCAGTAATGCACGTCGCAGCACTACTTGACACCGAAACATACAAATGACGCTACGATGACTTCGATCAACTTCATCATCAACACTTGGAAAGCAGACTACATGGAGGTCCCCTCTGAATGTTGCATTCTGACTTTTTTTCACTTTCAGATATTTGATTTTTCACTCACCGAAGACGAAATGAAAGCCATTGAAGGGCTGAACAAGAACATTCGCTTTGTGGAGCTGCTCATGTAAGAAACTTGACGTTGTCGTGTACTCTTCCAATGTGTGGCGTTACATGTTTATTTTTTTTGTGTGTGTGTGTGTGTGTGTGTGTGTGTGTGCGTGTGCGTGTGCGTGTGCGATGTCATGACACAGGTGGAGTGACCATCCGGAGTACCCGTTTCATGATGATTACTAAATATTATCACTTAAAAAAAAAGGTGGCTCAATTGGAATAAAGCAATGGACTCCAAGTGACAACTTGTTGGCATTTTGACATGTGATGGCGTACACCTGCACAATATATATTCTTATTATGATTATTTTTATTTTATTTTCACGTGTTAGGGTAAAAGAGGTTCTGAGAATGGCCAGCACTGAGTGAGTTCATGACAATGTTTACAGTTGCGTGATCCCTTAGGGCAGATTTCTCCACCCTTCAGTGAGTCAAGGCACGTTTGACATCAAAAAAGCTAAGCACAGCTAGCGACTAAATAAACATTTCACCCCAAAAAAAAATAACAATAGTAATAAAAATAATAATACATAATTTCTAGAAATAATTATTTACTCCGAAATACAGATACAGTACTCGGTTGGTGCGTGTCACGCCTTCTTCTGTTGAATGAATGGCAGCAGTTTAAATATGTCCCTCCTGCCCTCTAGTGGAAGAGATTGAAATCGTCCTGCCAAACACTGTACAGCATTGTCATAGATAAATACAGTATGTACATAATTTGTTGTTCTACATGGAAATAAATGAATTCATGCATTTAAAAAAAATTGTAAATAAATACTAATTAAGTAACATTGGATCATTTCCTGTGGCTTACCAACTTGTAATGTGAGCTGCTGTTGGCCACAGCTCGCGTCCAAGCACTCAGGCAAACTCGTCAACATCACCCACCAGTCCCCGCCCCCAGCTACTGTTTATTTTTTCCTGTTATGTTGTTATATCTGCAATGTTAACTCGTGTATATGAATGTGTATGTGTGTTGCCAAACCTAGCAAGGTCACAAAGTGAAAGCTGCCATTCACGACAGCGCCCCCTGAGCCTAAAATCTAAAGACCAGCGCAAAGCACAAGAAATTACAATGATCATCACGTGATTCAGGTTTTCAAGTCGGCTCCCCCATTGCAGCTGAAAGCAAACCGTGATTGTGTCTGGAATTATAATTTGATTTGAGGTGGGACTCGCAAATAGAACCACATGGCCTCCTCACCTCCAAACAGACTTTTGGGTGGGTGACAAATGCCATGAAGACCACCATTCTGGACTCCCGTGGTGGGAAAAAAACATTCTGAATGGTCTGTGAGGAAGGAATTTGTTTCAGGGAAGGAAAAGAAAACCTTTTTTTTCTCCCTGTTTCCTTTAGTGTGTCCATTATGTGTTCCTGGACATATGACCTCAATTCAGTTGGGGAAAAGACTATTGAAGACTTGCAAACTTTTAATGTTCCGTGCAAACCGAATACAGTGGTACCTTTACTTGCAAAATTCTTGATGAAATTTCTTAACTAGAAAATTTTGTATGTTGAGTCACATTTTCCATGTAAATGCCCTAATTCGTTCCATCAAATTACAAACTGTAGATCTTTTCCAAATGAATCAAACAGTTCTCGACAGTTTTTGAGCTCCCCCTCGAGGACCCTTACCATGGTCCCCTAAAACTACACTTAGACAAAGCTTGGACTTTTTTCAAATCCCAACAGATGCGAGAACTTTCAGCGAGAACTTTGTACAAATGCGGTGGGCACACGGACAGTTCTCAGGACTATTTCAAGCTCCCCCTTGAAGATATTTTTTAGATGAGGCCTCTTTGGCACAAATAATTTGTTCGGTGACTTGAGCAATCCGCCGTGTTGATGTGACCTTTCCTTCCTGCTCGGCATCTTTCTAATCTTATCTGCACTCTGGGGTGCCGCGCTCATTTTTTGTCAGGGGCCACGTTGTCGTTCCAACGCCAATACAGTATTTTAATCATCTCGTTTTATTTCATATACAGTATACAACAAATTGATAGGTAACTAGTTTTGGAATCAGAAGTCAAGAATAATAGTTCAAGTATTGTTGAAGTGACCGCTTGCCGTCTTTCATCATTATTATTGATTACGTCTGACGTATTGGAAAATTTGGCACCGATTTTTTTGCAATCATCGTGGAAGTTGACACGCTTGGTTTGCTTTCGCCGACCACATAAAATGACTTGGCGGCCCAGATCAGGCCCCCCGGGTCTTGGCTTCGACACCTGTGACGCAAGGGTTAAATGTGCGAAACAATTGCGCAGGCTCTCGGTTGACCAAGTGGAGCCACGACACACAATGGAGACATCACCCGGGCCCGCCTGCAGCCAAACGTGAGCAACCTTTGCTCCATCCTTTCAAGATGACAAAGGCCCGGAGGGGAATGTGCATAAATGTGTGTGTGTGTGTGTGTGTGTGTGTGTGTGTGTGTGTGTGTGTGTGTGTGTGTGTGTGTGTGTGTGTGTGTGTCTGTCAAAAGGTTACGCAATCAGCGACTGTCTGTTGCTCATTTAGGTTATCTTATCCTAACCAGATGATTTGCACGGGTGTATCTGGATCATCTCCATTTGCAGCTCACTCCTCGGACGTGCCCTAACCGCTGCGTCTCCCCCCACCCCTCTCTCTCCCCGCCACAGGTATGGACCTGTCAGCCAATCAGGACGAGGAAGGTGACCAGGAAGTCTTCCAAGTGGAGATCAGCCGCGAGAACAGGAAGTGTGCGTTCCGCACCGCTGCCGGCAAATACTGGACCCTTC